ATAACATAGGTATGTCTGAAGTGGAATAAAAATTTGCTTTGAAACATTCCGAGCAATATACCTGGGTGTAGGCAAATCACAGCACTGGCTGCAATAAAACCACAACAAAGAAAGATGCAAAGGCAAAATACCAACAGATTATGTTTTGAAAACAATAAAACATATTGCTTACAGGCAGTTGGAGATTATGAGAGGTATCATGTAGATGATGTGGTCAAATTGTAAAGGGGGAAGTCAGGCAGCAAAGGAGGAAGAGAGATAGTCACAACCACTTTTAAATAGAAATCAATGTTATCTAAGAAACAAAGGTGATGCTTCTGTTCAGACAGCAGCTCCTCTCAGCTGACCTGCAGCAGGTTCTACATCTTACAATGAACTGAAGCCTGGCTGCAGTAGGTAGGTATTCTGGCTTAGAGAAAAGGTACTTCAGCACTGGTTTAAGTCAGGCAATACAAAACTTTCAAATGTAATTAATTTAGGTGATGTGTTCAGACACCTGTTTTTGCCAGCAGTCTGACTTCCAACCACAACAGTGTTGTTAGCCACTCTTCCTCTTCCCATACATTTATAATTATAAAAGCTGATATTGAAAAGCAGCTCCTGAAATGCCTTTTGCTCTGAAAGCTTTTTGGTTTGCCTGAAGCAAATTAGGAAGTATCAACCTGTTTCCCTCCTGACACTTCCCATCCCCACAAAACTGCCTTTTCAAGGGCAAATTGAGGAAAGGGACACAGACCCAAAACAGAAAATCAGGAAGGAGGTTGGACAGGGTAGCTAATTCACATCTAATCAGAGGTTGTGTTCTTCCCCACCAGCTCCCTATCAGTGACCGTTCACCGCTGGAGCAAGGCTTACCAAGTTTAAAGAGAGGCAGCTGCAAAATGGATTACAAGTGAGAGGCTGGGCACATCATACCGATGTCTTTACCAAAATTGCTGCTGACAGAGATGCTCTTGGAGCACAGGAGACAAAGTAAAACAAAGGCAATAGCCCCAAAAAGATAAGAGACCTCAAAGAGATACTACCCAGAAGCTGAGGGGGAGCACGAGAAGTGGAGAGAGGGTAGTTAGGCCAGACTACCCAAAAATCACTTATAACTAAACAAAACCAGCCAAGGCCTTATCAATACATTTCCACTGCCATCATCTGGGCTGTGGAAAAAGGAAAAATTTTCCCAAGGCTGTGCAGCTCATTTTTCCTCAAAATCCAAACAACTTTTAGCAAGCATCCCAGTAGAAAAAATAAGAAAATACTTTTGTCTATTTCACAGTCAAAAATAATCAGGAAGTCTCTCCATACTTGATAAATATAAAACATAGACAGCTCTGCAGCTCAGATCTGTCATGTCAAGCATCACCAGAAGATATTTATGGCAGTTATAAGTCCTTACTTTAAAAGAGTTTCTATTTGTTGCACTAATAAACAATTACAGTGATGCTACTAGGCACTGATAAGATTAGGAAACACAAGAGGCCAGTCATCCTTTCTGCTCCGCAAGTGCAATTCAATACGATTACAAACAACAGCTGGATGTTAACAGCAAGGCAAGATGAAAGGAGTTATTTATATATTCAAGTACGTCACTACAAAACCTGATGGTCAAGCAATCAAATCTCTAACAGGATCTGTCCTCCACAGTTTGGGATGGGACTGAAACAAGTTCCTTGTGCATCTGGACAACCTAAGCAAATGAAGCAACCACAGCAAGTGAGAACTACTCAACGATCCATTATGTTGAGTTTAAGAGTTACGACTGTTTAAAGGTAAAAACGAGATCTTTGCTATCACAGGTGACTTGATCTTACTACATGCCATAGGAGAGATGGGTATGCCAACTGAAAGGTACATTGCCTTACCTCATGGAGAGAAAGTGACTTAGCTGCAAACAGAAAAATTTTTGCTGCTTCGGTATGATAATTTAAAGTCTTCCACTACACCTCCAAATAAGCTCAAGCCTGCATAACTCATAAAGAATGACACACAAACAGCAAAAGATTGCAGACTCGAGGCAGCCGCCTCTGCAGCCAGTGAATGTCCACTTCTCCTAGCTTCAAGAGATCTGCTCCTTGAGGCAATCTTAATGTGGCTCTGGCACGGTCAATCCTAAGGAGGATGATGGCTGGTCTCCCTCCCACACATGCTGCTTTTCCCTTTCACCATGCCAGCTTCTTGGGCATCTAAGGCTTAGTGCCACTGCTGTGATCTTGCCTATCCTATGGAGTTAACATAAAGGACTGCAATCAACTTCAGGCAGAGAAAGAATTGTAAGAAAACAGTGAGTTTCTTCTTCTAATTGGCAGCATATATATTATACCAATAACTTCACCAGAAGATGATCTTTTCCATCTGATGGCTGTTGCCTGCAGGATTAAATCCCCACAGACTTTGCCTGGCAGAATAAAAAGCAAAAATCACTCCCCAGTATAGACATTGCAGTAACACACACTGCATAAGGAGAAAGGTTTGTTGACTTCTTCCAAATTACCTCCTACTGATGTGTGATTACATCTTTCTATGGGGAAGCAAAGCCAAGCAGACTTAAAGTCATTTTGGTTCACTCAGGCTGACTTTAGAGACAGGGCCTGTCATTCAGCAAGAGAGCTCACTAGAGGGTCACAGGATTAAAGCCTGGAGTTTTCACAGAGCCACTACTTCAGTCCCACTGTTAGACAGCTAATTAAGACTGAATGCATCTAACTTCAGACTGGCAAGGCATCAACAAAGGGAGGCAATACCCAAGCCATATGAGGATACTCTGTGGTGTATATGGCTGGTTTTTTGGGGGGTTTCTCCCATTAGAAATCGGAGCCAGAATTCTTATCAGATATGTATCAGCATGGAACCAATTATAAAATAACGTGTCCACTGCATTTACAGATTTACCAGCTGCTTCTGACTGGCTTCCTGCCTTATCCCTGTGGAATACCCTGACCCTTCTCAACACTAAAGAGTTACCTCGATCCTTCCTCATGAACTGTCCCAAGATCCAAAGTCTATTCACTTATTCTCTACCTGCCTCCATAAAGCTCCTCGTGTTGTGCCAGATCTCACAGAATACAGCAGGGACTAAATACACCCTCAGCCAGCATGAGACCTGTGGCTCCCAAGATCCAGTACTCTAATATTACCCATATGGATTGTAATGCAATCTCATTGAGACAAAAAGCAGCTTTGCCACCACATTGTCACAGACTTGGTAGGAGCAGGCATAGATTCTAAAACCGCTCAGGAGCCTAAGTAACTCATTACAGCTTTTTACCAAAGAGGAACTCTTTGATGTAACTCTTACAGCTCATAAAGACTCAATTTGCAGCTGAAGCCAAGGAGAATTTTCCCGCTGGAACCCAAGCACATGATTTTTTACTTCAACCATAATCAGGTCCAGTTTCCAGTGGACCACTGCAGTGAGAGGATAGCACCTGAAACAAAATAAGAGACCTGTAGCTTGCTAAAAGAAAACACATTATTTCAGGTATATAGTACTGGAGAGAAACTTGCTTACATGATCAACTTCCTATTGCTTGACAGATCAGTAACTCTGAGCAAATTGCTCTCTTCTCTGCCTTTATTTCCCCAAATACAACATGAGTAATAACAGCCAATAAAGTGCTTCCTGACCTACAGATGAAAAGTAGCATAGAAGCACAGTGTGGGGATTGCTGGGAGTACTCAATGTCATTGTAAACAAGGAAATTGCACTATAGAAGACAGAGAACCCATATTGCAATCACCAACATTCGTTGTTACAGGGAATTCAATACAGGAACTGGGCATAACAACAGTACCAGTCACTCCTAGAAAGCCTGGCAGCAATAAATTTGAGAACTAACAATAGCCCTCCACAGAGCTCTTTCTAGACACATAAGTTACTTCAGGGACAAGTTCTTAGCGAAAGGAAAACAAAACAATGACCACTTCTATTAGTGCATCTTCTAGAAAGACAGAAGGCCTTTAATCTTCAGCTTCTTTTGCTCTAAAATCAGAATCACTACTTACTGATACTTACTTTTTTCCTTTTGAATACAGGAATGTACATCCTGAGTGATGGTGGCTTTTTGCCCCCTGCAGGCTGTGCAGAAGGCCTTATGGACTGAATAGCTCTCCCAACTGGGAAACAGCACAGAGAAGAGTTATACCTGGCTTGTGGGCAAGAATCATGAAGAAAAGTCTTCCGTCTTTCATAATACCATGTCATACAGATAATCCAGGGTGTATTAGAGAACACAGCCATCACACTGAGTATATGTGGGAGACTAACAATTTACTCCTTGAGTTAAACCCTTGTCAAGCCAGCAGTACACCAGGGGAAACAGAAATTCATGCCTTCTGAAAAACACTTGTGGGTGCACCAGTTTACCACTTGCCTTGCTAGTGCTTGCTGTAACACGCCTATACCTGTGAGCTTAATCATACCTCCTGGCCATACCTGAATTCAGCTGACATAGTATTAAAGAAAAGTATTTGACAAGCTATTTTAATAGATGTTACTCAAACACAAGTTTAGACAATTCCAAAGAAGTTCAGCAAAAATAAGTTTTATAAAACCTTGTTATTATAAGCGAGTCATTAAAAAAGCAACCACATACAAACAGTCTGGTCTTAACTTTAGGTAGGTCTGCACAGCCCTGGCACCGCTAAGTCCCACTGGTGACATCTCAGCACATACCCCGAGTCCTGACACAAACCCCCAGGAGTTCTGGGGGCACTGACCAACATCCCCTCAAATGCAATGCTCAAAGCCCGCATACCAAGCACTACAACCTTAAAGCGACACGATCTCCCAGGTTTGCATGTGAAACTAAGCCAGGATAAAGCACAGTGCTACCCTAAGTGCTCCTCTTGAAAACGTGCAAGTTTTGGGAAGCAAAACTCAACCAGCCCCACACATCATGTTTGGCATCAGGGAAAGCCACGCGGGGAGACGGGGGAAACAACGTCCCTGCCGCTGCAAGGAGTCACTCAAGGGTGAATAAACGTTTTTAAATGCGACTGTCACTTACTTATCCAGGACGAAGTAGAGATCAAAGGCACCGTGACAGGAGCGCTGCTCTTCTTGCTCTTCCTCCTCCTCCGGGCGGGCGCAGGAGATTAGGCTCCCCATTGCCAGCAAGAAGCAGCACAAAAATGCCGCTTTCTCCACGCTTCTCCAGCAACTCGCCATCTTTTCCCTTCCTTAATTCTTCCTCCTCCCCCAGTCTCTCTCTCCCCCTCGCTCTCTGCAAATCTTAGAGGCACTTCAGAAGCAACGAGGGCAGAGAAAAAAAAAATCAAAACAAGCAAATAAACAAAAGAATCACTAACTTCAGGATCTCAGCTCAACCCTGAGAGCTCAAGGCAGCCCTGCCCGCCGGACACCGGACCGCTGGCTCAGGACTGGGGGCAGAGCCCAGGTAGATGATTCCCGGAGCCCAGACCCCATAACCCGCCGCCTCGGCAGCTGCCCCGAGCAGTCAGCCCCGTCCCACAAGGAGAGAAGAGGTTCCTCCCGCAAGGGCTAGAGGCAGGAAGGGGCAGAGGGAGGGGAGCGGGAGGAGGGAGACAGGATCTTATGGGGGCAAGCTGAACTGGGACTTTCCTGTTCCGGGATACTGAGGTGGGAAAAGCTGCTGCGAGCGAGGGACCGAGGTTAGGAATCGCTACCCCGGCGCCTCTCCATCGTCCCGGGGGCACAGCTCGGGCGTTCCTCTTTCCTTCCCTCTCGCACTGCCCTCGGGGCAGGACGGCGGGGAACGGGGCAGGAGACTCCGCCGGCGGCGGGAGGGGAGCCCAGGCAGGGACAGGGGCAGCCCAGCCACAATCCGGGGCATCGCTGCGCGTCCCGCTAAGCCTGTCTCTCCCAGGCTCGGGAGGGGAAGGAGCCTTGAGGTGGCCAGGGCTGAAGGGGGCAGTGGCCGAGGCGGAAAGAAGTTGCTGTAGGAGACGGGCGTTACTGCAAAAACCTGTGACAAACCGGAGGGTGGGGGGATGGCGCGAGGGGGCAGTTGTGAAAAATCTAGTCGCAGATGAGTGCAATTAAAAAGGTTATTGCCTGGGGGCGGGGGTAAGGGGCAGGTTTTCACAGCCCTCTCGTGCCACAGCAAATTGTTTTTCTTCCGTGGAAAACTTGGTCTACTCGTCCTGGAGTCTGCACACATCCTGCAGGCGACGAGCAACGATGAAACACAATCTCTTAATGGAGGCTTTGCACAGTAGCATAATCACTCCCCGCCTGTTACACAAAGGTTACAAAGCACTGCCCTAAAGAGTTGGCCCAGCTCATCTGGATGCTGTCTCCAAAGTTTGAATAATTAGTGGCTTCCAGCCGCTTCCCCCTCCCCCACACCCTTTGCAGCCCCTAATTAATGAAAAGAGCCACGGGGGGGATGCGAGCAGAGTCACTTTGCATGACGGAGTTGGGACTAGACATTTCTCTTTCTTGGGGGGAGGCTTCGGAACGCGAGTCAAGGTGGAAAGAATCCATCCCCTGTGGGGCGCTGGCGCGCTGCCCGATCAGGCATCAGTCCCCCAAACACCCACTGCATCGCTGAGACCTCTTCACTCGGGAAGCTGAGCCGTAAGGCTGCGGCCAGGAGCCGCTTCCACGTGCCAGCAGTAAAAAGTGATACCTCCTCCCCCCGACCATGCCGGTACCCGCAGGGGCGCACGGCCGGCCCGGGCGGGCTGAGTTCGCTGCCCTGCTGGGAGGCGCTGAAGGGGCCACGGTGCGGGGGTATGGGCGTGGGCATCTGGATTGTTTCCCCACAGCACACGGCAGCTCTGCCCTGAGCCCTACCCGCCTCCATCGGGCAACGGTGGGATGTCGCGCAGGCGGCGGGCCCTTTCTCTCTGCGCCCGACGAGGACACGCGTGGACACGGCGCTCCTGCCGCCTCCGCGCAAAGCCCCTTCCCCGTCGCATCCAGCGCCCCTTCTAGCAGCCCTTGCCGTGTTTTGTGCGGTATCAGCTGCTGCCTGCAAGTCTGAAATAAAATTTGCACTTCGGGGAAAGCATCTCGGTTTCAGTTCCCTATTTCTGTGCTGGACCAAGTTCAGACACATCCAACCGCGGCGGCGGTCGGGGACTTATCAAGAAAAGTCCACCGGTTTTCAGCCTTTCGCCCGATTTAACTATGCCCAGCTAACAGCTGAAGGCACTGCTTGAGCTCACTACTTTAAAGGTTTTTGAGCAGTGGCCAGTTGAGACCCAGCGATTACTTAGGTCACGGAGAAATACAAGAAACCCACATCCTCTCTGGCGACATTCACAAAAAATGAGCAAGCGGCTGCTGGGCAGCAAGAATCCCCGTTCCTCCCGCTCCGCCGGCCGTCGGCCTCGACGGTGCCCACTAGTGTCCGCAGCCTGTGCGGTCCCCGAGAGTAGCAGCCCCGGCACTGCGTCCCGGCCGCCCTCGCCACCCCCTGTCCGAGGCAGTCGTCCTTCCCCGCACACACCGTGGCCTTTCGAAACGAAATAAAAATGCTGATGGCTCCAGTTTCCCCCAGTGTCCTGTGAATATAGGACTGTTTCGTAAAATAACGCAGCAGACTTCAAGAGAGTCTCCAAAGCCGAGTAAGGCACTAACAAGAAAAAATCCGCGGTTAACTATTTTCCGATAATGTGCAGAATGTGCACTGCCGTTTTCTGATCTCTAATGTATTCTCTGACTCTGCAAAGAGAGATGGATGGCTCACCTGCCTTTTCCAAAGGGCCCGGCGAGGGGGACGTTTTAAGGCTAGGTGAGCATACACAAAACAAGGATACGGCTGGGTCCTGCCACGGTTAGTGTTGGGCAGAAACACCCTGTGGAATGGAGGGCTATGGTTCTGCTAGCGCCCCTTCCCTGCTCCTCCAGCCCCTGCGAGGAGGGCCGGGCGCGGCGGGGGCTTGCGGGCTGCCTCTGCAAGAGCCGCCTCCCGCCACCGCAGCCTCCTGTTTTAGACAAAACTGGTTTTCCGATCTGCGTGAGCCCCTCCGGTGGCTGTCACACTCGCCGGGCAAGCCTGCCAGGTCCGAAGCCGAAGCGAGGTTTGTGTGGGGTCAGCGCTTCTGCCCAAAGGCAGGGAGCGGGGAGGCAGGGCGGGCCAGGCCGGGGGCGCAGCCCTGGGACTGCCGGTCACCCGGGCGCACGGGCTCGTCTGCTGGGGTCTTGCTCGACGGAAGATCAGACCAAGCACCTGCGAAGCTGACCGTAAGGTGCGGATCTTACCCTGCCTGGGGCACAGGTTACCTCACTGTCTCACACAGGTTCAAGCTCCGTAAGGCAGGTGGCAATGTCTAATTGTCCCTTCTTACGCCTTCTGTCGCTATTTGCATAAAGTCTGCAAAAATATAACCTCTTGTGATATGAAGTTCAGTGGGAATTGTCCATCCCGGTTTCCTGTCGCCTGCACCCCAAATCAGCAAGTGTTTCCCACGAATTATTAGGAGACGCCACCGGCACACCGCCCCGTTCCTGGGAGGGCGGTAGGATGCGGAACCTCCCAGTTCGGTGGGGCAGCTACCAAACCCCCACTGTCCTTAATAGTGTCGTTCGTTCGGCCAGTGTTCAATTTTAAAAGGGAACTCTTGACTCCATCCTCTTTAATGCCTGTATCACAGAACACGGCGAGAGTGATTCGCTCTTTTTATTGGTATAAGATTACTCTTTAATTGCAGCGAAAATCCATCCTTTCAAAAGCATTAAAGTGTTGACGTTTCTTTTCCCGATACAATCCCATGTTCAGATTACATGGACACTAATCAAATAACCCGAGTTATTTCATTTGTCAACATGTTCATAAAAATTTTCTACCAGGCGTTAAAGGCATTTATATGGAACGACATCTTTCAAAAGCAATGTGGCTAGTCCAGATATAGGGAATATTTGATTATGACAAGACGTTTGATGGTTTTATTTTACATACCAGCTGTGCCACAAATCGTTTCATACCTCAAAGTCCTAATTTTTATCCTGCGAGTACTTTCTATGAAACAGTAATTTTCATGTTAAGCCGTTCTTGTCAATACCTGCAGCTCCCAAGAGAGCATTGTGTTGATAAGTGTTGTAAGATGCTCTAAAGGACAACTGGGAAGGAGGCTTTGAAGATGACTTTGGTTTGTTTATTTGAGGGGTGTGTGTGTGTGTTTTTCCCCCCAAGTTTAAAAGAAACTCCTCGTTTTATGGTACCGTTACAAGGGGAAATCCCGTCCACCTTCAAACTCTCCCTCGCTGCGGTCTGCAGCCGCTCGGGGATGGCTTCTGCGTCGGCAAGGGCTGCGGGACCCCCCGGGCGGGAGTGGCAGCGGGTCCCGAGGGAGGGGGGACGCCTGGCTGCCGGCGGGGGTCGGGGGCAGGCGCTGCGGTAGGCGTTTCCCGGGGTCTGCTCTGGGCGGGGAGCCGCGGCGGGGGAGGAGGGTGCCGTGCTGGGCGGTGCGGCGGCGGGGGGCTGCCGGCGCAGCTCTTGGGGGGCCGGGCGGCCCCGCCGGTGGGGTGAGGTGAGGTGAGGGCTCCGCGGGGACTTGGCCGTAGCGGGATCCTGGGAGAGGGGAAGGGGTACGGCGGGGACCCCAGCGCCGCAGAGCCCCTGTCCGCGGGCAGCCTGCAGCGGGACCCCCAGGTGAGCGGGGCCGGGGCAGAGGGTCCGGGCGGGGGGCTCGGGGCGGCCCCTGCCGCCGGAAGAGCGCGGGCAGAGCTCGGCGGAGCGGCGGCCGCGCCGTCCCGCCCGCCCGGGCTGCGCAGCCCCGGGGCCGGAGCGCTACGCTCCCGGAGCGGGGGCGGGCGGTGGGTCGGGGCCGGAGCGGTCGGAGCGCTCCGGGGGTCCCCCAGCAGCCCGGGCGCTGCCGCACCGCCGGGACCTGCCGTGCCCGGGGCCGGGCTGCCCCGGGGAGGGCGGTTGCCCTGGGGAGGGGGCTTGCCGGGGAGCAGGCGAGGGCACGGGGGTGTCCCTTGTGACTTGTGCCTAACCCCGACCTTGTCACCGCCCGCTTCAGTGCGGCAGCGAGGGGCCCCGAGGAGAGTCCCCCGAGCGGCGGGTACCGTCCCCGGGCTGCCGGGGGGCGATGCGGAGGCGGGGGGGGATAAGGCGGATCCGCCCTGGCAAACCCGCCGGCAGTAGTCCTTTTTCTCCCTCCCGGCTCCTCTTCTCTCGCCGAGACCTCTCGAGCATCAGTTGCTCTTTTTATTGGTTACAGCTCTCCTCAGCCTTCCAACTTCGACAGGTCATCAGAGCATCGTGGCTGTTTTAGGTATTTGCTTAGGATCTAATTGCTTTTAAGAAATTGATGAACTTCTTTGGAATAGTTTACATTGTTATTCTCTATTCGTGTCTAATATAAGGCTATCCATGTCCCATGGATAGCCTTATATCATGGATATTCATGTAGTAGAATTTTTTAGTGGTTAAGTAAGTTAGGAGCTGTTATTGCTGTCACTTTAAAATGTCACATTGATCTTTAAATTTGCAAATCCTTACATGAAAAGGTTTCTGTAGGAATTCAGTCCACTGGAAATGTTTGAAACATTTTAATGATTTTATTCTGTGATCCGTCAGCTACTAGTTGGAAGAAATGTCAATAGAAACTTGCTGGAAGATACAATTTTTAAATAGTTTTATATGTTTTTATATACTTGCTTTTAAATAAAAAGCAGTTGCGCTCACGTATGAAATTCAGAATTTAATAATAAATTGTGACTCAGGAGTTATCCCTTATATTTGGCTTTTAAAAATGCAAAATATAGCACTTGACAGCTTTTGTTACCATTTCTAAATATGATTGGAATTAGAAAGAGGGATTTCTTTGGGCAATAGAGTGATTAAATTTATATTTTAATGTGTAAAAATACACCAAAGCATAAGCTGTTCTTTGAGAAAGCCATTTTTTTTTTGTATTTTAAGCATTTTCCAGTATTTCAAAGCTAAGTAGAAGTGCCTTATCAAACTCTGTAGAGATATTATCTTATAGAAAAAAATAGCTTTGGAGCCATAGAAATATTAATGTAACGTCAAAATACTACTTTAGATTCTGTTATCTGAACATAATATGAACAGATGACAAAGTACAGAAATAAATTATGTGTAAGAATTACAGATTGTACCAAAGATTTTGCATAAGAAATTACTTTGCTAAATCCTAGTATGATATAGATGGATATTTCCATGTCTGTAGTGCTATGCTTTATTTAATATAATTTTCCTGCAGCACAGTCTTACATTACATGCAATTGCTAATAATAAACATCAAGTCAAAGAACAGAGTATTTTGTTGGAAAACAAATTATTTTAAGTCAGACCTATTTTAGTTTAGAAAATCATTTTAAATTAAAAGGTTTCTTGGCTTTACTGTAGTGTTTGTGTTGCTTCCCACAATTTCAGCTTACATGGTGTTCTTCAGCTCCATCACTTGCTGTTATTGGAGTTGACATTATGTATTTAGTTTAGCATTAATGTAAATAAGATTAATGTAAGTTAATGTTACTTAGCACTGATGAAGAAATTTCCAGTATTAACCATGTGAAAGTAACTGCTCTTTGTTTTAAAACACTTCTCTTTAAATACAAAATCACAAAAAAATAAAGAGCTGTAGCTGTATGTGTAGTCGTGAATGTATGTACGTGTATATATGTGTTTACGTATATATATGTCTGTGCTTACACACCATAAGTATATGCTTTCCTGCCAGAAAGAAACATTTGAACAGATAGAACTTCTTTATAAATCTAGAGCTGCCAAAAATAGTAACAGGGACATACCTTAATATATCTTTTACGTCAACCAGATAATGCAGTTTCTTTAGATTTGTGAAAAGGAGGCATAAATGGGAATTGTATGAAGAGAGAAGACAAATGTTTATGACTGTTTTCACAAGTCACACATTTTGTTTCAGTCTGTTTGGTTTTGGTTCAGTCTGTTTGTGTTTAGATCATGTTGGTTGGTTGTTCCTTCATTTTCTGTGGCTACGCATAGGGAATGGTGGTTTTGTCTGCATGGATGCCTGAATAAAGGACCAAATGCACAGATCTGTGTGAGAACAAATGTGTTAGCACAAACTGCTATGGTCAGGGCTGTTATTTATGTGAATCAAACAAGGATTTTGCTGAAAGTGGGTAGGTACACACATCTGTGAGACAAGTAACTTTCTTACACTATGTGACAGATGAATAATTGCCTTCTTTGTTCCCTCCTCATGGAATAACTTTGTTGCTTGAAAATGTGGGGGGTTCGTATGCTTTTTTTTGTGTGTGAGAAAAGTAGAGGCATTTGTACATTTGCTTTCTGCTCTTTCCTGGTTGTTCCCTGTAAAATTCAGACTTCCTGTGATGTTTTGGGGCATTATGTCCATTGTTGAATAGTGAACAATGCCAGAGCAGCAGGAGCAGAAACCAGACCAAATATCCGAGTTGACCACCAGCACAGTTCAGGCCTGGAATATGAAATACCTTGTGCTCTGAACTGAAATATATCCATACAGTGTACTGCATACACAGGTGTATAAGGAGGTGAAATTATGTTAATTCATAACATTTACAGTCTGATAATCCTTAATACTGGATGAAGAATTAAAACATGCTCCCTTTATCCTACAGAAACCCTCTTTTTTAGGTCTTGGGCCTTGAAACCACAAGAGCAAAGTGGTGGATAAAGGTACTGTTCTTCCATTAGACAGAATAGCTGTAGTCCAGTGAAGAGTCAGCCCTTCACACAAAAATAAAGTCTTTGAAAGCCAGCAGACTACAGAGCTGTAGTCATCTTTTTATCCACAGGTGGATTGCCTGATTTATGAATGATTTGTACAACCCAGTACCATCCAACAGGGTTCATTAGATCAGTTACAGTGTCAGACAGAAGAACTAATTCTGCCCCTGGGACCAACCCAACTGGAAGGAAACACTGTCATTTTTTGAAACATGTACCCAGTCTGTCTGAACCACAGGTATTGCAAAAAATAAACTTATTTTATTCTTTCTAATTGATGCGGCTTGGTATTACTGTTGCTCATTGTCCAATTTGAAACATCAAAAGCCCTCCCAGTGCCTGCACTGCATTTCTTGTATTTAAGCCCTGTGAAAGGTGGAACAGAGCCCTGAATGAACCTGTTGTTTGTGTTCCACTAGATTGAAAACCTCCAGCTAAATCAAAGAAACCTTCGCATAGAACTATGCAGAGATTGTTGCATCACACATCCCAACAAATCAGTATTAACCAGGCCTTCCAGCTATGTGGGATATTGCATTCCTTTCCTACCTACCACATTTCCTGCCATGGAAGACAGTGGCAGTAGAAATAGGGGTTCGATGTGGAAAGTCCTAAAAACGTAAGGAAGTTTGGTGCTGAGCTGCCATTTGAAAGTCAGGGGGGCTACAGTACATGACTCTACTGGGACTTCATCAAATCTCATCTATTTTGTCATCAGGCTAGTTGTGATGCTCAGGCTAAGGGATTTTGTTCCTGGACTTCAGGTAGGGACTGGGAATTGCATCCTTGTGGTGGTCTTGGACTTAAAGCACATCTACCTTGGAGAGGCAGCTCTGCGTGTCTGTGGGGCAGCTACCACCCATCAGGAGAGAGCCCACTTCAACTTTCCCTGTCCTCAGAGAAAATAAGAAGAAACTTGGAGGCTTTTATTTTAATCTGCACTTCCTAATGGCTCCTCTATGTCACAAGACTTGCTTAAAGCACATGTGAAGTTAGAGGTGTTTACTCATTTTCAAGCAGGGAGTTTAGCTCTGTCTTCTTCATTACTCCCACTGAAGTTTGAGAGATTGTTCATAATAAAAAGCTTTGGCAGTTTCATGATTCACTAGGTTGGGTATCCAGCCAAGATATAATGATGGTTCATCAAGAGCTGTCAGCTTACATTGCATGTACTGGGGATTTCAGATGATAGAAGACAATCTGAAGACCATAGAGCCTTAAAATAGTAAGAACTGGAGAACTGCTCCCTGAAGACATCATGACGATACAACAACAAAATGGTGAGCACCCATAAGACTGGAGGCCTCTGATTCACAATAAAACCTCAAAAAGGGCCCAGTTTCAGGAAGCTCAAAGTAGACACCAAGCTTTTTACCTTGAGCTGCCTCGTGATCATTTCAGAGGACGCCAGGCAGTGAGTTTCCCTGTTTCTACTCATTATTTTTAGAGGCTTGCCAGATTAGAGTTGTGCAACTACTGTACAGAAAAGTATGATGAAAGAAAGCTGAGGAAGCCAGGAATGCCAAGGAAAAATCATTTTCATGCATCAGGCTACTTCAGTCCCAATTTTATTTTTCTGTCTTTAGATTCAGTTCATTTCTTCAGTCAACAAATTCCTGCTTGATGCTTATTGTTGTATTTTCTTCTGCTTCTTCCCAGATGCCTAGCTCAGGAAGCTAGTCAGGCAAGCATGACTGAATCATGCCATATGTTCAAATGAGCAGTACATAAGAGCTGTGAGGAACTGAGAAGAGAGGTACTCACAATATGCCCCAGTTGTAACCCTGGACAGCAAAACAAATAAACAAACCAACAGACAAACAAAATCAACACAACAAAAAACACGCCACCAAGTTTCCACAGGTTTTATTATCATTATCTCATTTACTTAATCCATGCTAATTGGGCTGTTCTTAATGCATAGATGGGACATGGCTGACTGGCAGGCAAGGATCCTCTTTGGATCAGCTGCCCTCTTTCTTTTATGCAGAATCGCTGCTGGCATCCAAATTTGTGACCAATAAAATGGTGAGGATGACAGAGCATACTCAATGCCTAGAAATTCAAGGTATATTGTCTTATGGGCTCTTTCTCAAAGATGGATGGGTTGCTAAACTTGAGACTCAGAAATGAGTGACATATGACTAGTTTTCTTTCTTAAAATCAAGAGCAATTCTTTCCTTTCTAACATAATCCAAGATCTTTACATACTCTGCTTGGGATATAATGTCTGTTTGATGGGTAGCAAACCCTCAGATGGCTTTGTTCATCCCAAAACAGGCTGGGAATGGCAGCACATAGATGTATCTGCCTGTCCTCTACATGAATGTTTGTAAAATTTTCTTAATGTGTGCAGGATTTTCAGCACTAAAGGTACAAAGAAACCACTTCATGCTCAAAAGGAAACAACTCCCAGTGCTGCACCCAGGCTGAAGCACATAAGCTCTGTCTTGCCATGGCAGTGAGCTAAAAGAAATTACTTGTTTGGACTTTTCTTGCTTTTAAAGGACTTCTCAGCTTATAATTTAATTTAGGAAACAGGTTGTGATTTCT